CCTTTCCTTTCCTTTCCTTTCCTTTCCTTTCCTTTCCTTTCCTTTCCTTTCCTTTCCTTTCCTTTCCTCATCATTCTGGTGAAAAATGAACCCAAAAAAATGAAGGGAATATTCAGTCAGCTCAAAAAAGGCCCCAGAATTCCAGAGCTCCTGAAAAAGTGGAAAATGTGAGGAAAGAGGTTGGGAATGATGTCCAGAACCACAGGAATGTTTGGGAAGAGCTCAASCAGTGCCAGTTCCATGCTCTGTGGAAATGGGGGCTGAGAATTCTGCTCGTGGACACAGAGGAGCCCTGGATTTCCATCCTTGGAGTGGCACCAATGGATAAGTGGGAATATGGCACAGACACTGGATTTCAGTTGGAATCTCAATCCCAATTTTTCAAGCCCCTGTTTAATTTGGAATCGCAACAAAGTAAAATTGATTTTAACATTTGATTCAGGCCTTGCTCCTTGGGATCCGCCTGATCCCACTGGGAATTTTGGGAAGGGGATATTTATACCTTATAAACTCCAGGAATGGGATCCAGCCAGGATTTGGGCAGTAAAACACAGATTCCCTGTCCTGCAGCTGGAATCCTGATGGAGAGCTGTCAATCCSGCTGTGAATTTGGGATGTGCTGAGGCTGCTGGCTCTGTTTGCAAAGAGGTGAGAGGAGCAGATTTTTTTTCCCGATCCAAAGGTTTTCAGGAGGAAATTCAGCTCCTTTTTGTTGCCATGAAATTCCTCCTCCMACATCCACCTTCCATCCCTATCCCATTAAAAAAGAATCAAAATCCAAAATAAAATATTAATTGGGATTGGTGGATCCTCTGAAATCCACCTCAATCCCTTCATTCCAAGGAAACATTCCAAATCCTGTGGATCAGATCCCTGCAATCTCTGGGAATGATTTACTGATTGAAAAAACAGGCATGTTTCATTTAAAAAAAATTGATTTATCCCTTGGAATAAAATATGGATTAAGTTGGGTTGGAATTATCAGTGTGGGGGTGGAATTCAGGGAATCTGTTCCTGGGATCAGGGAATCCATTCCTGGAGGTTCCAGGGAATATCCTGCCCCAAAATCTTATCCCAGTTCCTGAASTGGCCACGGAGGGAATAAATTCCCAGCCCCAAATCGGTGTTTTCCCTGTTCCAATGGGAACTGGAAGTCAGGAAGCCTCAAAAAGGTGGAAAATTCCACCCCGGAGCAATTCCAGCACTTCAGGAGTTGCTTTTCCACCACCAGATGGAGAAATTGCCTTGGAAAATCCGCAGCCACGGGGCTGGAGCATGGCAGAAGGAATTTTTAGTAGAAAATGGGATTTATTTTCACAGATTTAGGGGGAAATGGAATTCCAAAAGTAGGATTTCATTCCCAGATATCCAGAGAATAATGACAGGATCGCTCATTTCTGTGGATTAAGGTGATGCTGTTCCATGGCAAAGATGGGTGGAGGAAAAACCACCCAGCCTGGATCAGGAATAGTTCCAGGATCTCTACATATTCCATAAATACCCACTAGAGGGGATCTTGTCTGGGCTATCAGACGCGGTTTCAAGAGAGTCTGGGCTTTTTTGGGATGGGAAATTAAGCCTGGATTTGGGAAATCATCCAGCAAGACCAACGCTGGGAACACCCTTATCCAGATCTTCTCCCTAACTATGGATTATTTTTCCATAGATAACAGAAGGAAAAGTTAAGTCATAATTGATGGAAAAGATTTTTAAAAATCTTTTTTTTTTTAGTGGATAAAACTTAAATCATCCTAAAAAGTTGATCCCAAGGGATTTCAGGGAGTGTGGATGAGCAGGAGGAGATGGAAAAGTGGAGTTTGGAAATCCATTCCTGCTTAATTTGGGAAAGGTTCCCATGCAAAAGCTGCCTGTGGTATTTTCCTCATGGATTTTTAGGATTAGGGAAAAGCTGAGAACCCTCAGCAGGAGACATCAAGGTGCATCCATGGCTAGGAAATTCCAAGATATCTCCAAAGGATCAAACCCTCTGCAGGAATTTCAGCTGGCCCAGAGGCTCCCAAGGAAAAACTGGGAATTGTTTCCCTTTCCTTCCACAGTGAGATTCCAGGAACTTCTGGGGTTTATTTCACAAAATGGATCTAAATGTTGAAAAAAAAATTGGCTTTTCTCCCTCTGGAATTATGGCAAAGGAAATTCGGGATCAGCTGCCCCCATCACCTGCTTAAATCCACGGAAAAGCAACCTCAGGATGTGGGAGATTCCCCCTTCCCCCGCATGAGTGGAATCCCTGGAAACAGAGCTTGGGATTTTCCCCTTCCAGCGGCCAAAAAAAATTCAAGGGTCAGCTTCCCAAGGATTTCCTGGATTGGAGATGGACCTTTTGATCCAGAAGTCAGGTTGGGATTTAGATTCTTGACGTTTTGAGGAGGTTGAGATTTGAAGCTTTAAAAAGGGGGAATTTTTGTCAAAATAAAGGCTGTAAAATTCCCCTGTCCCTTTTTTTTTTTTTTTTTNCCTTTCTGCAGAATTCCCATCTGGCTCCAAATCCTGGAGCAGAATTCCAAGAACCCTTGAGGCACCTTAAAGATGCCTCAGACCACAACAGGGAGACAAGCAGGGCTCTCCMTTATCCCAAATTTCCCCTGGAATTTCCCGTGGCTCTCCCCTTTTTTTCCATGCAGGGACTTTCACGGTCCCAAACTTTTCCTGCTGGACAAAATCTGTCTTCCTGCAGGTTGGGGGGACAAAAGCCACCRTGGTGAATGTCACAGGCAAGGCCAGCACCGCACTCCCTTCCAAGGATTCTCCAGGGATTGGATCCCAAATAATYGCGGCAAGACCTCCTTGAGCTTCCCATAAAACTGCCAGTCCGGAGGCCAGGGTATCCCATGGACACAATGGGAATTCTCGGATTGAAGGCCCAATAAAAATTCATATTTGTATTGTGAGGAGGTGCTGGAGGAGCTCGGGAAGGGAAGGGAATGAGGAGACCAAGGAGTGAAAACTCAGGGATCGGCTTTTTATGGAATGGTTTGAGGTGGAAATAAATGGACATGGAATTTATCCTGATTTCCTCCGAATGTGCCGCCACCTTCTCCAGGCAGCACTCCACATTCAGGAATTCTCCTCCTGAGTGGGTAAATCCATGAAAAACTCTTTTATATGGAATTTCTCTGCTCTGGATGGCCTCAAATCCCAAATTTCCAGCCTCACCTCAGTCCGAACCTTTCCCACATTCACTGACACACCCTCATGAGATATTTTGGCTTCCAGGAGCGAAATGATCCCTCCATGGAGTCAAGGATTTGGAAGGGACTGGATGGTCCCACTCAGGGGGTGATTCCTGCTCAGACCATCCAATGATTCCATGATTTTTTGATTCCACAGCTTAAAAAATCCCAACAATGCCCCAACACTGACTGGGTTTTTTGGGATTTTGGGGTTTTTTTGCTCCATATCTTTTGGAGCCTGAACCTTTGGAGTCTTGGCCATCTGGAATAAGATCCATCAGGATTTTCCACAGAGCTTGGAGCAGCAACGTGGTTGGAGTTGGGGAAGGGATTCTCTAGGAAAATGAGCTCCTATTCCCAAAGTTTCCCCATGGCTTGGGGTCGCTGTGGATTCTTTGGAAGCAAAATTCATCTTTAATTCCCGTGGGCTCGGCAGAACCAAGGTTTTAAAGGGAAAATGGTCTCTTCCAGCTCACCCAAAGGCTTGGCCATRTTCCAGCAGCAGAGACTTTGGAAAGGACATCAGAGGTTTCCAACCCATCCCAAATTTGTGTCCGTGGCAATTAAGGGAAAGGAGGAGYACGTTTTCCTTTTGGGAATCAATCTGGAAGCCATCTAGGGAAACCGGAGAGGGGAAGAGAAATTCCAGCTGCCCCGTTTTGATCCAGCTGCATCTGACTCRACTTTTGTGGGGATGGTTTGGGGTTTATTTCCAGGCCTCTGGAACGCTGCTGGGTGTGGGATGAAGGCTATGGGATTTCGTGGATTGGGGATTTTGGGGAATATTTTCATTTTTAAGGATGCGGGATGGGGACATCAAAGGAAGCAGCTGGGCCACCTCATAGTGCATGGGGGGGACGTAAAATCCAGGGGTTTCCCACAAATTGAAAGGCAATCCTGGAGGTTTTTTGGGAAAAAAAAATCCAGGCTGGCTCATTCTTCAAAGGCTKGGAATCAAAGCAAATAATGGGAGTTTCTGTGGGGTTTGAATATCCTGAAGGACTCCAAGTTTTGGATTCTCAGAGCTGATTTAATCCCAGGGCAAGGCAGAGCCAGAGGCAAACACAAAGAGGGCTCTAAATCYGGGAGTTCCCTTGGAAAACTTTTTCCAAGACAGGGAAGGTCCCACCATCTCCAAACAGATGGTCAGGTCTTTAGGGGGAACGAGTTTTCCCAAAGAAATTTCCTCCCTAGCTTGGAAAAATGATGGTGAACTTTCCTTTCCTTTCCTTTCCTTTCCTTTCCTTTCCTTTCCTTTCCTTTCCTTTCCTTTCCTTTCCTTTCCTTTCCTTTCCTTTCCTTTCCTTTC